AATTGAAATATAGTTAAAAATATTTGTATAATTGTAACTATTATTGAATAATAGATTTTTGTAAGTGTTAGTTATAGTACGAATTTTACTATTACTTTAATATGGATTTGTGACATTGTTTGCCTATTTATTGCTTCACCGCAAAATAAAGTATGGGGTGAAAATCCCGTAAAAATAAAACCAAATGGCGTATGTTCTTCTGTAAATCCAAGTAGCCAACCGATACCCTGCACAGTGGCCAGATTCCTGTAGGAGGCGACTCAACCAACCGAGCGCCTCAGGCCAGGACCTGGGCCATACCCATGTGCCCTGCCATCACCCTTACCCTCACCCCAGCCCCTATCCAAACACTATCCCTATCCACGACCTAGCAGGGAGTGCATTTTTTGTGCAGTTCTTAGACTCTGTGGCCAGTTGGCCTCTTCGTGACGAAAATGTTTCGCTTAACTGGATTTTCAAATATTTATTGCAACAAATTATTTTGCTGGTTACACCGCGGCCAGAGCCACAGCCAGAGCCAGAGCCCTTCGTTTGTGTCTCAGCATTCCCTGCTCTTGCTGCCTGCTCCCCTCTTTCATGCAGCTGCTGCTGCTCCTGCCCGAAAGCGGTTTTTATGGCCATTTAGTTTGTTTCATTCCAGTGAAAGGATTTGGTGTTGAGATTTTTGCGGTTTTTTGCACAATTGCAGACAAATTAGGGTATTACAGCTGTATACAATTTATTTCGAGCGTAAAACCCAATAAATTATGGTTGAATTGCTGTTGTTGTTGTTGTTGTGGCAAATGCAAGGAATTTTCGAATGCCAAAGCAAATAGTTTTTATTATCTGAGTATCATTATTTGGTCGGAAATGCAGTTAAAACCTTTTCAATTTAGCCAACAATTTTGATTTTTTATTTTAATTTAAATATTCAAACACTAAACAATTTTCTACGTATACGTGGGCTACCATCTTTGGCTCTAAATATGCAATGATCTACCACAATCGGACATTCCAATATTCAAAAATCTTTTGTTATGGGTAAAATAATTTAACAAATATTTACAGACACTTAAAATTTCCCTTTTTTTTACCGAACTCTTCTGTGCTAAGTCTTCTCCCCGATTCCTTCCTTTAAACCTTTATTTTTGACCTCTTTATATTAAAATTCTGGTTTATCTGTATCTCTATCAATCCACATGCTTTCGGAATATCTCTTCCATCTTAAGATCTCATTCAAAGCTGCACTCAAAACAATAAAAAGCCACATATAGCAGACAGATTCTCATTTAAGCTTGGTGTATTACAAAATATTTATCCACTTAATTTAGGTGATCGTATTTGCGTAAGAATTTTCTTTAAAAGTCTGCCAATTTACCAGACGTACATATTTACACTTCTTGACTGTCGCAATCTTCAAGACAAGTCCACTGTTATTCACTTGAAAATGGAGATTGCCTCAAAGAATTTCAATTAATATTAAGTCCGATCTATGGGCCCCCTGCTCGTAGAACCCCTCAACAAAGCACCAACAAATGTCGCCTACATATATCAGAGAGCGGTCAGAGAGAGGTGGACTAAAGGCTGTAAATGTTTGCAGCCAGGGTGAAATAGTGTTTGCAGCATAACAAGCAATTTGGTAATTACATTGAATTAAGCACGCAAATGCAAAAGTAACGGCGTAACCGAAGTTGCCACACGACAGATGCACACAGAAAACTTTCACTCGCTCAGAACTTTGGCGAAGGCTGCCAGAAGCCGGCAAATGACAGCGACGGGAGGAACGACAAGCGACAACGACAACGAAAACGACAGCGGCACCGGCAGCAGCGCACCGAACCACATTTCGTGTGTGGGAGCAAGCGTGGGAGAGTTTCGCGCGGATCGCAATATCGCAAATCGCACGGCAAATAGTTTTGTTCCGCGTTGTTCCGGCTCTCGTAGTGCGTCCGTTCACTTGGAAACCCGATGCACGAGTGAACTGGCGGCCGACTTCATTGGTGGAGAAGGCTTTCATATGGCCCGAATGGTTCTTCGCTACGCTTCGGCCTTCGTTCGGCATTCGGTTTTTCGAAATTCGAATTTGTTCGTTGCCAGAGAGAATGAACTCCTGCCCCACTGGAAGGCAAACTGGTGAAGGTTCATTCTGCTGTGCCTCCTTTCGGGAGTTTTGTGCTTTGATGTCCAATGAGGAAATTCAAAAGAATTTAACTTAATTTAATTTTAATTTAAAATAAAATAAATCTTTGATTTACTTTGAATTTTAAAACGAATTTTAAATGAAATTACTTACAAATTGCAATGGAAATTAGTTAATTTCGAACTTAAGAAAATATATTATGGTGTGTGACATTGTAATCTATTAATTAAAATGAGGCAATAGGAATAATATAATATAATATTCACCAGCTAAAATGTATGTGAAATAAGTGCCCGGCAGCATCATTTGCCACAACAGAAACAGACACAGTAGCAACAACTACCGAGAAGAGGACCGACACCACTCCGATATCCAAACTAAACTCCTACCAGTACGGATGAGCCGACAAGCAAATTAACACGCATATTCTATAAAGAACAACTGCATAAATTGGCTTATCTGCTAGACACACACACACAACAGTGCTGTGTGCCCCTTGCTTCGACCACTCTAAGCGAATGTCAAAAGCAGCTAACCAGCAAGCTGAAAGCTGGCAACAACCGACTGCTTGCCACAATAAAAAAATATTCCACATACGCAGAGTTGCCTGCTGGCATCATTTAGATAAATATAACTCGGAAACTTAAAACCAAGCCTTCGGACCGTCGCACCGTCGGACCGCCGGACCGTCTGACCAGAGAAACCGAACCACACCGCACCGAACTGAACCACGAACAACCACAGCAGCAGCAGCAGCAGCAACAGCAGCACAAAAAGTCCCAGGCAAGCAGTTTTCGCCATGAATAAAATCAACAACAAGCAAAGAGAGCCAAAAAAGAATAAAATAAACTAATATGGCATGGTATTGTTCCCGAGCTTCAATCTTCAAGTGGTTGGGCGGGAATTGAGTTAAAGCAAACTCTCTGGTTGCTGCTGAAGCTCGGCCAACAGTTTAATCTGAAACTGGCAACAATTCGGCTCCGCGCCCCGGCATCATTATTCACCAGAACTGAGCCAGGAGTGGAGTGGGTCGAGTGGGGGCAAAAGTAAAAAAAAAAAAAGGGTGGCCATGATGATGCCGAGCACGACGACTATGCTGACCTGCAAAGTTGACAAACGGCGCATCACTCAACGGCATCGCCAACTGTTTCCGGCTCTACGAGTATATACATGCATACATATGTACATATACTCATGTGTGTGTGTGTGTGTGTGTGTGTTTCGTTTATATAAATGAAAGTATATGTGTGTCTGTGTCTGTGTCTGTGTCCTTTGCAGATCCTTTTCAAAGCGCATTAAAACGTATTTTAAAACTTTATCCCAAAGTGGGTCATTCATAAGTTTATCTCCATGTATTCTTTAAATGCAAACACAGACTCTTTGAGCTCGCCTTTTGGACAGCAGCCAGCAGAGGGAAAAGCCCAGAAAATGGTTTAAATAAAAATAGAACAAAGAATTTTAAAACCTACGAATAATTGAATGGCTAAAGCAGAGCAGGAAAATCAGCAGTTTGGTTACATTTTGAGGGCTTTAATGAATTGTAGCACACGTTGAAGTTTCCTTCTTGAATTCTTTGAATTAGACACGAGTTAATATACGCTAGGAATAGCACCTCATGGGCACTACATTTAATCTTTAATGAGCAATGGCTATTGCAAATATTCCCCTCTCCAAGCAGCTAGTTTGCTGCATCTCAAGCTTGCTTTGGACCGCTTTCAAGAGAACATTTTGAGCATCTAAGCCCGGCCAGCCAGAAGCTCATGAGTGTAAGCAAATCGCATTGCCTTTGAACAATCCTTCGACTGCCTGCCTGCTCCTCCTACTATGCAGCCATCGACACCTCCTTTGGGATCAGCATTTAGTCGAAATCCAAGAGCACTTGCTGCTGCTGCTGCTGCTGCTGCTGCTCTTTGCTGATGTCATGCTGGAAACGACACCCAGAAGTGCGGGCATTAAATGAAAGTTTTCTCCATTCTTTTGCACCCGCTGCAATTGGTGTAAATTGCAAGAGCATAAAAAGCAGACGAAAAAAAAAAAGAAAGGATACAAAAAATCTTTGCTACTGGGACCATCTAGTGGCAATTGATTCCTCCGGGCAACTGCTTGGGCGTGGGCGTGGCATGACCCCCTACTTAAATCGCATTAGCAACAAGCAGCCGGAGCACAAAAACAACAACAACAACAACAACAACAAGCTGATTGCACTGAGCGCAGAGAAGAGGAGAGCGTAAATTGCTGCCAAAAATTGAAGTGTTCAGCAAATATATGCACAAAAGACAAAAAAAGGAGGAATTCCGAGATGGTTTTTGGGGCAAAAACAAAAAAACCGATGGCAAAATCATCATTCTGTGGCCACGAACAATGTGAGAACATATTTGTGCAAAGTGGAAGCCCCTACTGCCTGGAATCTCCGATACCCATTACCGTATTTATCCCCGAATGCGTTCTGTGGGCATTATGGCATTTGCCTGCTGCCTGCCTGACCCCATTCAAAGCCGATCTATTGCCAGAAAGGCAGTTCAAGTCCAATCAGAACAATAGTGCTTGGCCGTTGGCCATTGGCCGTTGGCCGCCTTCCCATTGCATTCGAATCTGTTGTAGTGCTTAGCCCTTTCTCCACTTCTTATGGCCCAATTAAGCAGATTTCCCCCTTCAAGTGGCCTAAGCTACCACAGCCCAATGCCCTGCCATGTTATGCACATTGAAAATAAATATTCGATGTCCCGAAATTGATGTCCCTTAGAATTTTGCTTCGATTTGCAGCGCAACTCTCCAACTCGAATAAAAATAAATACCAGCAAAAGCAAACACATTCCGTGTGAGCATTAATCAAATTAATGTGTACTTAATAAATGCCATTAAATTTTTATTACATTCTCACCCGCAAACCGAATTCGAATCGGAATCGCTGTGTCCGTGTCCGTGTCTGTGGCTGCGGCTGCGGCTGCTGGGTCCAGGCGCAGGTACATAAATTGGTTAAATCGTTTAGTCGCTTTCGGACAGCTCAAGTGATATATATGTATGTATGTCGACTGGTGGCTCAACGAGTGGCTAAGCGGTTCGGTCTCGCATAATTTGTGCGCCTGCCAAGTTACCTGTGTGTGAAATAAATTGTTTGTGCGTAAAAATGGCAAATAGAAGTTTGTTAGTCAGTGTGCTGCTGTCAGGGGGGTTAATCTGTTTGATTTTTAATTAATTTTCTTATATAAATTACGGCAATATCAACAAACATGCTATGACACCTTTAAGCGCGCTCTTAGTAACGAAAACTCTCAGCAAAAACTGCGCCCTGATACCCAATCTACTCGAATCACAGCTCAATGTCGATTCAATTCGCCACAGCAACAACAGCAGCAACAACTACCTAATAGACAAACAAACCTAATAGCTGTGCCATGGCCAGACTCTGGTGATTCTGTGGGCCAGAGCCGGCCGAGTTATGGCCGCCATTTCCGTTTGGTTTTCACAACTCAACGCGCCGACTTCCTCCCGCCTCTGGGTCCGAAGACTAATCCAAATCGAGCTGGGCACAGCCTCCAGTGTGTTTCAATTTTATCGCTACCAATTTACTGCCGCTCTGTGTTTTTTTCTCTCCTATGGTTTTCTGCTCCTTTTGTGGCTCTCTGTTTCCAGCTTTTTTTAGCCAATGCCGAAGGCAGGTCGCTGCTGCTGCTGCTGCTGCATTTTCCATTGTGCTGACCTCCGCTCTGGCGACTGCCGCGTAATTTACGTATTGTTTGATTAGTGTTGGGTTATCGGCTCTGATTTCCACTAGGCTCCTGCATCTCAGCTGATAATCTGCAAATACTACACTCAATTCAGCGCACATGAAAGGCAACCGGAAATGCCAAACACTTCAGACAGCAGAAACAAGTCAACTCCAAGGCGGATGCAGCATGGCATACAATATTGAGTAGCAAACGTACACCGTAGGACTCAGTGTGTGCTGTGCTGAGTACTTTGTTATCATTGCCATTGTCAATGATAATAGCAACAACAGCAGCAGCAGCAGCAACAGCAGCAGCAGCAGCAACAGCAACAGCAGCAACAGCAGCAGCAGCAACAACAGCAGCAGCAGCAGCAACAGCAGCAACAGCAGCAACAACAGTTGTAGCCCTGCCACTACAAATAATATCAAAACTTTGTTGGCACGCCAACATTTTGTGAGTCAACTGGTATAGGTATATGGATAGGGATAGGACACGGCACGGTTCCGGACAGTCAGGGGCATGCATGTGCCTCAAGTCCTTCCATGATCACGGCCTTTGTTAACGGCTCTTCACAGGGCTCGAGGCAATGCAGCTACAGTGGACAGTTTAAATAGAGCTTTTGTTAGCATTTATATGTTTGTAAATAAAGGGACTTACAGCCACGAAGGTGTGCCCAAAGTGGAGAACATTTTATGAAGAACTTTGTGTGGAACTTAAATGAAAACTATAAATTGCGGAATGATAAATTATGCCCGTAGATAATCACTGTAGCCCACTGTAACGTCTGTGCCCGTCTGCACATTCAAGTGCAACAAATGCATAAATTAAACTACAATGTGGGGAGAGTCAGGTTTAGCCCAGTATGTGGGTGCGAGTGCGAGTGCGAGTGCGTATCCGGGTGTGAGGTTGTTGCGGGTGTGCGAGCGTGCATGTTCTCCATTCTCCATTATCGATACCGAAAGACATTATCAGCACATGCAACACATGCACCGGCATGGCTGGGGGCGGCAAGGGGAGGTGCACCAGCATGGGCATGGGCATGGGCATGGGCATGCATAAAACATGTTTTGGTCGGTTGGCAGCAAATTGAATCAATAATATCCAATCAGGGGTTAACAATGCGAATTGATTTCTAGCAGCCATGCAAGCGAGGCGCCATCCAGCCATCCAGTCACCACACTCCTTCTCCCCACTGCCACTGCTCCTACAGGAAGAAACCGGCGCCTGCACATATGCAAACATGACAGCCAAGAAGATAAGACCAACAAACAGCAGTGGCAGCCATCAGCCAACAGCCAACAGCCAACCCAGCCGCCCAAGCAGGCAAACAGCCTGGACCCAGGATGCCTCATGTAAATATTAATTAAGTTTTGGCTTTTGTTGCATGCGACTTTGGTTTTTGCAGCAAACCTTGCGGCAAGCCGTCTCCTGGCTGCTGGCTCCTGTCTACTGGCTCCCAGGTGCATGCATCTATCATTGTATTAGCTGCAGAATTAGTTGGTTAGTTAGTCGAACACTCGGCGTCCTTTGTAACAATGACTTTGCCTAATCAACTTGGCAGTACATGCTCTTGTGGCTTACCCGGCCACTTAATTAGTTCACAAAGAGTCCAAGTCCAACACGATTTGACACTAATTTGGTGCACATTCCGTTGAGCTGTTGAATGCCAGGCTGCAGTCAGCTTGAAGCCCAGATTGAAGCCAGCTGCGTACTGCAGGAATAAATCTTTGGACTCCAACTTGGACTCAAATTCAGTCCACAAAAGTAGCCATAAATTTCCATTTGATCTGATATCTTTGCCAATTGTATGCTGAAATTGCACTGGCACTAAAAATTTATCTCAGTTGGCAAATTAAATTTTGTACAATTTGTAAAACTTTCCCAAATAGTGTCGCCAACTGCCGCGAACCGTCAACTGAGCGGAGAGCCACAGCCACAGGCAAAACTTTCAGAATTTCCATTACAAGTTTTACTTGATTCAGCGGCTCACCATCGTGCCACACAGTCACCCACCCAGCAGCCAATGCGCGACCTCAATCCAGGCTTATGCGTTTATTTAATTTCGCTTGAACATTACGCATACGCCAGGGTGTGCAGTGAGCTTTTCTAATTGCCGCGTAATTGCCGGGAAGAACGAGTGTCAACTGAGTCAGCTCAGCAGCCCAGCAGCCCAGGAAGCGGCAGTTTGTGTTGCCAATTAAGGGTTAACTGCGATTCAGGCAGGATAACTCGCTGCACTCTCTCTCTGCACTTAGCCGTAAGTTTGGCTGCACTCAGCGCGAGTTCAATTGTGTGCGTACTGAGAGTTCAGTTACAGTTTCAGCTTTAGATCACAGCCAGGCACACACTAGCTATGGCACGAACATTCCTCCCGGCATACCTGTCATCAAAAGGTGACGTTTATTTGTGTCATATTCGGTTACGAATCAGGCACACATTTCGTCGGATTTATCCAGTTATAATGCACACAACTACCAGCCAGAATACGTTTATATTTGTGCTTGAGTTTCGTTTGATTTAAGTGTACTTTTTTGTGCGGTGTAGTCGTATTTGTGGGCTCCAAAACAAAAGGTGGGAAACCAAGCCAACTACGGAGACCAAATTAAATTTTGACTTGGAAAATACGTTTGTGTTTTCTGCTGTCAGCTTAGAGGTGCACGTTGTCCTGATAGAAACCGTTGGGCGCCTCCTCCACGCTGTCAACGAATATCATGGTCAGGCCCAGCCTCGGTCGCAGGTTCTCCGGCATGTGGCGGTTGTCGACGCCAAAGATGCACAGGCAGGGCTTGCCCGTGGCGAGCGACTTGATCAGTCTGGTCACAAATTGCGTCATTTGATTGTGGCTGGCGCGGCGTAGCTGCAGGTTGGCCATGGCGACGGGCCAGCGCTCCTCGTGGCACTGCTCCACCATCGTGTTGAGCAGGTGCATGGGACAGCCGCTCTCGCGCAGGCTGTCCCTGACCAACAGGTGCATCTGGTTGTCCGGCGTGGAGATGACGCTGCCCCAGTTGGTCACCCGTGCCCGTGGCAGGCTGGCGCTCCAGTGGGACAGCGCATAGTGGTCCAGCTGGTCCCCAACGTCGCGCATCACGGGACTGGTTGAGCGCAGTGCTGCTACGTAGAACTGCAGCAGCTCCAGCTCCCGGCACTGGGAATCGATTCGCGTCTGTTGGCCCAGCTGGGCGTCCTTGACCTCTGTTAGCTCCTTCCCCTTCATCTGCAACACATTCCGCAGCTCGAGGATGCAGTTGTGATCGGCCAGCTCGTTCTTGGGCACCTGCATGGCGCAGCTCTTGCAGTCGACCAAGACCTTGGGATTGTACTGGCAGCCACTCACATGGGCGCGATACTCGTCCAGCGGCATCACCATCGGGCAGTCGTGCTCCGCAAAGGGGCACCGGATCTGGAGGCGGGCGAGCATGTTGCGCATCAGTCGCGAGGCTGGCACCAGGTGGCTCGGCACCAGCTCGGAACGGTCCACGGGGCACAGCGACTTCAGCTTCATCCACTTCTCGATGCAGTCCTTGCAGAAGGCGTGCTCACAGTGCAGCGACTGCACAGGATTCTCCATCACCTCGGTACATATCGGACAAATGAGCTCCTCGTCAACACTGCCGATAATGTAGTTAATATCGAAGCCCATGCCTTCTGCTGCTTGTGGGTGATTCGTTCGGGAAAAAGTGGAGGGATTTATTTGGCGAATATTTTTTGTTGTTTTAGAAACTCGGTTTTGGGAATTTTATGTACTAAATATGAATGTTGCGTCGAGGTTTTCCAAACAGTAATTTTTTCAATGCCCCAAAAAGTGTGAACTGCTTTTTGTATTCTCCTTTGAATGGGAAAACAACTCTCCCATGGGTTGCTTTGCGAATGAAATTGAAATGTGAACTCCGATCCGGAGATGTCTTCATTTCTTCATCCCTGCCCCCCAGCACTTCAATTTCAATTCGAGCGCAAGTGAAACCAACTCAAAAACAAACAGTAAACAGAAAGCCATCCATTCATTGGCAATCCTCTGCCCCCTCCCATAACTATTCGCTGCAGTTGGGGGAGTTCCTTGAGGTGGTGCATGGCACATGGTGCGGTCGTAAGCCCTTTTGCATATTTATAGTTCAGTTCCAACTGCTGCGGAAGTATGCAAATTGGAAAACTTATGGTACAACAACAAGCCCAGAGCAGAGCAGAACGACGCCAAGTACAGTTTTATTTATGGAGTGAAATTTTAACAAATTAACTGCAAATGCAGAGACATGGTCAAACAAATAAACTCTCCATCTGCATCTTAAGCTCCAACAATGACCGAAATACTGAACAAACACACACACACGCACACACACATACAGGCATGATTGTGACAACATATTGCCATGTCAAAATATTTACACTATATCAACCTACCATCGCATATGAACTGCTATATAAATAGATTGCGAGTGGCAGAGTTGGGCACAGGCTCTGACTCTGGCTCTGACTCTGGCTCTGGCTCTGACTCTGGCTCTGGTATGCTTTGGCAGACAATGGGTGACTGGAAATTCGGTTTTAAATTTAATATGGGTTCAGCCATCTCATCCGTTTTGTATATTAAATTTCATGTTTTCCCCTTTTGCAATGGCATTTTCCTATTGTCTGAATTTTTGCACTTGTGTGACAACTAGGCACGAGCACTAGCTCTAGCTGTAACTCTCTCTCACTATCTTTATGTCTGTCTCTCTCTCATTCCTGTCAAACGTTGCCTTATGCCATCTTCTTTGAATTGCAATTTTGGGCTGTACATCGAGCCACTGGCTGCTTATCTCCAAATGCAGCTGTCAAAATTGGGTACGAACTTGCATTCCAGTTTTGGACAACAACAACAAAAAAGTTATTTAAACTTGAGTAAATATTTTAGGGCTGTGCCCAAGGTGAGAGGCTGCAGCGCATAAATCAACATTTGTGATTATTACCAATTCATTTTCATCACTTACATTTCAGCCGAAGCAGCCGGGACTATTTCTGTTCTATTTTTGTGACCACTAACCATCGACCATAACGAGTATCAATAATATTTCCTAGCCATTTCCGAACTGATGAACCGCATTAGAGAAATTTATCAGCAATTTTCATTTGACTTGACTGCGATATTTGGATATACAAACCAGGACAATCCACAGCGACAATCGTACAGAGCCCAGTGGAGCAGGCTAATTTAATAAGCTAAACAGCCACAGCAGCCCAACAATCTCTCGCCTTTTGAACAATGGCAATAGCAACAACAACAGCAATATTTTTCCAATTGAACTAACGAATATTTAATGAAAATCAACACTTCCGCTTTGCTGAGCGCCGTTGAACCTGCACACACACACAGACAACCAATAACGGTAGCATCATATGCATTACATAACGAGCTACAAATGCTCACCGCAGAATGTATGTACATACGTATCGTTGCAGCAATCGTACGTGCCACATTCGCCTCAAGTTGCCAGAGCCGGAGCCAGAGCCGAAGCCAAAGCCAGGACTCAACGGATCTGCCATTTGCCATTCGGTTGATAGTCATCCAGGGAATGCGCTTGACAAAGGCTTTTGGGCTTGTCTGCTAGTCAAACAATATAAAATTCACTTCTGCCTGCTGCCTGCTCTAATTGCTGGAAATAATCTGCAACTTAGCCAGAAATAATCATAATAAAGAACGCTTAATGTTAAAGAATATTACAGACTTGGCTGATATCATTTTAGAGGATCTCAAATCTAGTATCTAAGGCAAGCGAGCACCGTTTAGCTGATGCTATAAATACAAATAAAAGTCACAAAACAGCTAAGAAAATGATTGGGTAGCAAACGATCTCTCTGGTCAGTGGTGAGAGCTGTAAGCTACCATTTTTAACATTTTTAAGCAGTATTTACTAATGATAAATGCGATCACATTTGGCTGCCTTAAGTAGAAATTTTATGGCTGCGTTCTGAGCTTCGATTGCAGCCACAAATGCCTGACTATATAAAGTTGGGTTTAGTTTCTTGCTGGAAACAATGAGACGCACAGGAATTTGACGGTACATTTTATCATCGTGTCAAATAGTTGTACTGACATAACGGTCCATTTCCTAGAGCAACAAGCAAATTGTCATCCGTGCTGCGTGCTGCGTGCTGCGTGCTCCGTGCCACCCGCAAAAAGATACAAAAAATTACCATGAATTACTGTAATTCCACTTGCGACTGCGACTGGAATGCTGCCCTGCCGCCCTAAGCCATGGTCATTACATGGAAATGGGACATGTCACTGGACATCGTCACTGAGAGCGAGAGCTCTGGCCGGGACGTGTGTTCGGGAGCTGGTCCGATCTCTGGCCAAGCGGTCACGTTCGCACTGTATGACCGGAACGTGCAATTTTTCTGTGGCACATGGGCAAGGCGGCGGGAGGCGGAAGGCCAGCAATAAGCACAAGTTTTATGCAATAAAATTAGCCCACTCTCTCAGACACACGCACTCAGGCAGGACACGCAGGATGCTTCAGTTGCTGATAAGATAATTTTATTTGGATGTTATTGCATAAAGTCATGTGAGCGGCGGAAATGAGTTGAGCTAACGGAAAGCGTCTACGTGCCTCTTCGAGCCGGCTCTCAGATGGGGCCAAAGAAGGCAGGGGGCACGGCACAGTGGGATTTTAATAAGATAATTGGCTTGCTTGTAAATTGATGAATTGAAAGGTGAAGCTAAAGGTCAATAGGCACTTACCACAGTAAAGTTGCTCAAAGGAGTTCTGCGTATCTTTAAAAAAAAATCTTACAACATTTTTACATGCACACGGAAAGCTTAAAAGTTTGTTTTAAGTGACCTGCTGACCCTGCAACCTCAGGCACCTGCCATCACCATCGCCCCGTAATCAACGTAGCCATCGTCCCATCACCATTGCAGTCCCCTCCTCCGATCAAAAGGGAGCCACGCAGAAATTAGCCGGAAAATCCAAATTCTGCTGTGACTCGGCGGCTGGCTTTATTGTCCGCTGAAGCGACACTAAATCGTTTGTACGAGCATGCCAGTGGCAATGGCCTTTGTGAGGCATTCGATGTTTCCTCTGGCATTGGGCATAGTCAGCAACATGGTGGGGCTTGTGCAAATGAATATCTGCTCTTCTTTTATATATATTAAATACTGAAAGAGCTTGCCAGAAATTCAAATAATATTCCATACCACACAGAGAGTATCTGAGCTTCGTTTAGAGCTTCCACACATAATGTGTTCTTTTGTTTTTTGTTGTTTTTTGTGGTGTGGCGAACGTTTTGCTGGAATTTAACAACTGACCGCACACACAAAAATATTTTTGCCACACCCGAGGCGACAACAAAGCCCACAACGATGGCTGGAACAGGAATACACACCAGTCGAGGGGAAGAAGGCCTCAAGTGCCGCAAGAGCACTTAATACTAATTAGCTTTGCGCCTACGCCGTGACCTACGACCTGCCCTGGCGAGCGGTTGGCATTTCCGGCTACAGAGCCGCATCCTGTGGCCAGAATGGAGGGGGCGGGGGGCATTGGCAATCTGTGCCGCGCTTAAGTGGCCGCAACACGCAGCAACATGAAAAGTCTGGGGCAAGGCAGGCCAAGGGGTGGGTGGGTTAACAGCTTTTTGGGGCGTCATTTTTATGAGCTAATTAAGTTGTTAGACCTGATGAAAAACTCATTTCGTCGCAGGTCCATATCTAATTTGCATTAATTACAAGCTGGCTGGCGACAGCCACAACAATAAATGACGAACGAATTATTTGAGCAATAATTTGACTTATTTTTGGAGCTTTTGTCAAATGTCAAACGACTTTAAGGCACATTGCTGAGCAATTAATTATCCGCCCGCAACCCTTCTGCGGCCCAGTTTCCGGCCACCCATTTAATTGGCTGGCAATTTGCATTTATTGGCAAGCCCAAAAAATAAACACACACACACACACACACACACTACACAAAATAGAGTAAAAAATAGAAGGGGGTAAAACTTTGTGCCCGCAAAGACTTGCAGAAATGTTTGTGCAACACTTTCAACACTTTCCATTGCATGTTGCATAGAATGTCGTTCGCCTTGCCAAGTGCAAATTTGCACATAGTTTATAATTTGCTTAGCAACTTGGGCTGGAGCTGGGGCTGGGGCTGGGGTTGGAGCTGGAGCTGGGGCTGCTGCTGGTGATGGTCCAGACCAGAGCAATTGAAATGAGAGCGCACAACTTTTTAATGGCCAACGGCTCGAGGAACTTGCACAAGACGTTCCGTCCCGTACCGTGCCAGAGTTGGCCAGGCCGAAAAACTTTTCGAATTATGAATGAATGGCTAAGCACTTTTTTATGGGCGTTGCATTGGAAGCAGCAGAACTGGATGACATCAATTGCCAGGGCACAACGCTCTCCGCCCGTCGTCTTAATCGGAAAAGTTTTCAATCTTGGCAAGGGTTGTCCCTCCCTAAATGGCATTTAGAGATTGCCAAACGTTTGGCCAATTGCATTGAAAGCCTCAAATAATTTCAATATTTATTTCTACGCACCGATTCACTTTTTCATTTATTTTTACACAGTTCATTCAGTAGAAAACTAAGCCTAAAGAGACCAGAGTTTGATTTTCAGCACGCAAAAAAGAATAGCACGAAATCTGCAGATTTAAATGCTCCCTCGGGGGGTCTGACGCAAGTCATCACAATAAATGCCAATTTATTATTTTTGCTGAAGCAAACTCCAATCAAGTTTGGCCAGCAAATCGAACAATGATTGATCATTATTGGTATGACATAATTATTTCACCAGCAATCAAGTTTGAGCAGCCAGTGGTCTGGGCTGTGCTCTGCTGTTAATGAAATCGTTGACAGAAAATAAAACTCTCTCAGC